TGTCTTGACCCCCCTGGGTAAACCAGGACAGCTCCTCAGAATGTACTGAGTGTAGTGATTCAACAAGAAAGCAGTCTCTAGGCTCTTTGCTGGTTGTTGCTGGTTGTGTGTTTTATAAGGGTATCATGTCTGGACATAGCAAGGAACTCAATGATGCTCGGTAGCAGTCACCGCCACTAGAAATGAGCTCTCACCTCTACCTGGGGCTGAGGCTGACAGTGAGATCCTGGAGGCCCCTTCCTTCCCTTCCCCTCCCATCACACAGCTCAGAGCACCCGTCCTCGGGACATCTGTTCCAAGTGCATGGCAGAATTATTGATGGGCTGCAAGGGGCCTTGGGGGGCCTTATTTAGTCAGCTCTACCCACAAGAGGACCTCTTAACTCCCTCTTTCCCTCCTGACCCCCCTCTCCCTCTCCTACCTTCTCCCCGCTCTCTCTTCCTGTCCTTCTCTCTCATTTCTCAGGCTGACTTTCTTAGTGAACCACCACTTTTGAATTCCTTAAAACCAATGAGTCATGCACCAGTCCAAACTTGTGCACATTCCTGCCCCATACAGAACCCTTGCCTAATAAGTTTTTAGTTAATGATAAGACTTCAGGCCAAGAGTAGGACTAAACTCACACACACACACACACACACACACACACACACACATACACACACACACAGGAAGCTGTGCACAGAGGGCTTCCCAAGAAACACTCTTTACCCATGATCTCTGTACTTCATTTCACACACAACAGTGTGACACGCAGGAAGAACCTGGGTCCCTATCCAGAGCCCTGCTGGGGGAAATTGGATGAATCCTGGTACACACTAAGTGATGGGCATGGACACAGAGGCACGTGGGGCTAAGGTCAGGCTCATCGGTGTCAGGGAGGGAGGACACCCACAGGGCAGGACTCTGGGTAGGGAGCACCTACTTGTAAAGCTCCGAGGGAAGGAGTGTGAAGGGCCGTGGGGTAGTTAAGGGCAGGATTTCAGAGTGGACAGTGGCAGCGAGTGGAGACCCCAGAGATAACGGAGGAAGTGATGTCCTGGGAAGAGAAGGGAAGGAACGTGTAAACCCTTCCAGAACACCCTGCCACCCACCCAGGCAAAGGGGCCAGGGGCTGGACAAAGCAGACTGGGAGACGGGCTTCGTGCTGAGTGTTGGTTCGCCCGGCTTACTCACATTTATCTCAGGTGGGAAGGCCCCAAGCACAAAACAGACCCCGTCCAAGGCTGGCTGTGAGCTGCTGACCTCACATAGGCCACACGGGCAGCTAGGGGCAAAGCGGGACTTTTTTCACTATCAAGTACAAGAGCATCTAGAGAATACAGAACTACCTGGATGTTTTTTTTATTTTAAATATTTTTTCTAAATATTTTCACGGTCATGCCTTGCCAAATATTATTGTTACTTCTTAGTGACTAGAAAGTATCTGTTGTTGCTTTTTGTATGATGATTTCTAACACAGCTACTCATGTTGACAGCAGCTATTTCCATAAATACTTGGTGACTGAACTGGCCATGTTTCTGACTCAGGTCTTAAGACTCACATCCATACCGCTTTCCAGAAGCCCTGATTCACGAGTCACTCCTCCACACGGTCCTGCCGGCCCTCGGGTGACAGTTTCTACAGTAAACCAATGACCTCATCCCGAAAGCTGTTCAATATGGTGGGCACTAGGCTTCAACCTCACTAGTCATTACCACCCTGTGGTAAAAACAGATGCAAAAGCATTGAGAAAGCATCGCCTTGGGGAAAGAAGCCATTTCCTCAAGCCACGCAGTAAGTCCGGAGAGGAGGCTGCAGCCTGGCTCTACCTGACTCCAAACAAATTGCGCAGTCCTGCTCAATCAGGCAAGATAGGGCTGAGTGAGGATGAGGCAGAGTGCTTACTTAGCATACACTCGGGGATGGGTTCAGGCCCAACACGGAAACACACAGACACATACAATCTTGCTTAAGAACCAGGCAGAGGTTGGGGGGCGGGGTTGGGGTGGGGGGAGAACAGATTTTTACACATAACCCTCAACAGCCACCTCACAAGGTCAGAACCAGACTCTTCAGCCAGCCTAAACAGCTAAAGCCCTTTTCTCCATTCCCCAGGAATCAGGGCTAAATGAGGGTCAGATAGATGTCTTCGGGTTCCCAAGCACCCTCCCCGCAACCCTACCCCTGTGTACCAAGAGGTTTAAACACCTGAAGCCTGAGGTCACTGATAGCAGGGCTCATCCCACGGGGTGTACAGGGGCACCTGCCACTCAGAAAGCAGGACATGGCAGAGGCGCCGCCCTGATCACCCTCCAGCCCTGGCTCGACTCCATGGGAACCGCTGTGGCTAAGGAGCGATCCGCCAACTTCAACACCGGCCCGACTCCCACAGCACACTGGCTCCGTGTTTCTCAGGATGGGACCTGGCCGGGCCGCAGGAATAACACGAGCCCCACAGCAAGCAGCACCAGGAAGGCCAGTGTGTTCACAATGTTGTTTCTGGAAAGGTGAGCAAGTCTGTGCCGGGGAACACGAGGCCACACAGAGCTGAAAGATGCCTTTGTTGAAACGGAGCTGCTGTTGGACTTTTCCCCACGCCGCCGCTAGCATGGCGCCCACCGCTCGTGCACCCCGCCCCCCCATCTCATCGGAACTCCTGCAGCCCGAGGACCACAGCCCTGAGAAACCTCGGAGATGAAAACACCGCGGAGATAGAGTGACTCGGTCCCTCGTGAGCAAGACATGGATAAAACAGGACGGTGGATGTGAAGGGGCTAGCGGGGTCTGCGGCCATGCCCACATGGGACTGTGTGAGTTAGAGAGACGTCTCCGAGGCTGTTCAGGGGCTGCTGCACGATTAATTCAGACAAAGCCACAGCCATCGACAGACGCTCCTATCTAGAAGACACTTGGGAGGTAGATGCAAGGGGATTGCCAGTCAGAGGCGGGCCTGGGCTACACAGTGAGTTCAAGGATAGCCTGGATTAAGGTATGAAGACTCAATAAGATGAACTCTAAGAGGAAATGAACCTTTACTTTTCCTTCCTTAAACAAGATATGGGTTGGAATTCAAGTCAGCCAAATCTCCCAACCTAGAAAAGGTTTGTCAGACCTGAGGGTGAGCCAGGGTTCCAGAGTCACTCTCCAGTCCCTTTACTCTACTTCTTAACACTGATGACTCTTAATCTCTCCCTTCTTTCCCACCTTGAATCCTCCTGGAGAGGAATTAATGAATGAATGAACGAACGAACGAACGAACGAACGAACGAACGAACGAACGAACGAACGAACGAACGAACGAACGAACAGACTATGCAGGGTTTTCCATTGTTCTTCCTTGTTTTGAAGGCAGAGGGGCTGACCATCTTTCCCCTTGAAGACAGTCTTTCCACAGCGACCTTTGAACCCAGTGGCCCTGCACCTCCACAGTGACGCATCCTGGCTGTCCTGGGGACGTAAGCGTCCCCTCCTCCTCTAATCACGCTGCCCCGTTGATCCCTGGCCCTCTCCCCGTCTCTAGGCCCCTCTGCAGGTCACCTCTACACCGGTGGCCACGTAGCTGACTACTCTTAAGACTCTTGGTGACCTCTGTGTTAGTCAGCTCTCTGTCACTGTGACAGAATATAGCCGGGAGAATGAACTTAGAACAAGGAAAGGTTGGTTTGGCTCGGGCTTCAGAGCGTCAGTCCCACATTAACTGAACCTGGTGTGAGGGTCTCTGGCGAGGGCCTGCGGTGAGGCGGTACACCATGGTGAGACCGGGAAGCCAAGTCACCCGCCTACCCAGTGGCAGCAAGGTAGACAGGCAGGAGCCTGGCTCCCAATGCTTCAAGTTCACCCCCCACTAAGCAACCAACTGCTCCTTGCCAGGCCCCACCTCCTAACTGTGCCAGGGGCTGGGGACCAGTCCTTCAACACACAGGCCTCTAGACACCCTCCAGATCCAGACTAGAGCTCCAGTTCTAACAGTTTTCGTCGTGCAGTGGTTAAGAGTGCTTGCTGAGCTTCCAGAGAAGCCGCTCTCCGCTTGTGCGTCATGGTGACCTTTTCACGGGGGTCGCAAATCAGATGTCCTGCATATCAGATATTTACATTACAATTCATAACAGTAGCAAAATTACAGTTACGACACAGCAGTGAAATAATTTAAGGCTGGGGGTCACCACAACACGGGGAACTGTATTAAAGGGTCGCAGCCTTAGGAAGGTTGAGAACCAGTGATCCAGAGGAACCAGATTCAGTTCCTAGCTCCCACGTGACAGCTGACAAACATTCATAATTCCAGTTCCAGGGAGCTGACGTCCTCATCTGGCCTCTGGGGCACCAGGTACACACACTGTACACATACGTTCATGGAGGCAAAACACACATACACAGAAAAAGATTTTTAAGTATTTTTCATTGTTGACCTATACAATGATTCTTTTATTTTATTTTTTTTTCTTTTTGGTTTTTCAAGACAGGGTTTCTCTGTGTAACTGCCCTAGAAAAGATGCTTGTCTCAATGGGAAAATCTCCTCCGCTCAGCACTACTTCATGATGAATGCAATCCCACGCTCTTGAATGTTCTTCTGTCCCTCAAAGGCCTGCTGTTGACCCATCTTTAACACTCTAAATTATTTACATCAGAAGCTAAGAGGCACACCGCCAGACAGAAGTGATGACACTGTGTGTTGTTTTATGGTGTTTCATTTTTCTCATATGGCATCGTCTTAAACTCAGGCAAGTTTTAAAGATTTACAGCTGATAAACAGTCACGAACGAGGCAGGTATGGGGACGCAGGCTTGTGGTCCCAGTACTGTGGGAGCTGAGGCAGGAGGATCTCCAGTTTGAGGGCAGCATGGGCTACAGAGTGAGCGTCAGGTTGGCCTAGGCTATACACCGTGTGAGCCTCACAACCTGGATGTCCTCACTGGGACACACATGGTGGAAGGAGCCTGCCCACAAGTTGACCTTTGACCTCCAAATACTCACTGTGGCACAAACATGCACATACAGACACACGCATATGCACACAGGAACATACATCCATTCACTAAATAAGTAAATAAAAAGAAATTAAAACAATTTAAAAATAGTAACTAAGGAAAAAAGGAGAATTCAAAGCCAGCCTCAGCTAATCATGAGACTCTGTCTCTAAGCACAAACACATCAATAAACAGGCAAAGTGAGATCTGTATTTGAATAAAGAAAACCAGTCTGTCCATGTACTGACCACCTCACAGACACTGGACATACATTTTCTTGATTTTTGTTTGTTTGTTTTTTGAGACAGGGTTTCTCTATGTGTATTCCTGACTGTCCTGGAACTCACTGTGTAGACCAGGCTGACCACAAACTCACAGAGATCCTCCTGTCTCTGCCCCTCAAATGCTGGGATTAAAGGCGTGCACCACCACTTCCCTGTAGGACATACATTTTCTTAATTAGCCAGTCCAAATGCATAAGGCAAGTGTGACTGGTCCCATCTTACAGATACTTCACTTCGTCATTTGGATCCTTCCCACTAATCTCGTTGCCATGGCAATTTATAATAATCACCTATTATCATTTCCAATATTGTCACTGACATCAAATTTTACAGACATGCTTTGGTTTCTGTTGGATCATTAGCAAGTTTAGGACCTGATGTGAGCCATGGGGTAGGTTTGACCTACACCAGGCTGGCGTCGAACTCACAGAGATCCACCTGCCTCTGCCTCCCGAATGCTGGGATTACAGGCGTGTGTCACCGTGCCCAGTGGCTAGAACGATTCTTAACGTTTTCCTTTTGCTCTGATATCTGATTAGAGCTTTGGTCACTTTTATCTGTTTATTTATTTATCCGCACTGGTGTGAGGATGTCAGATCCCCTGAAACTGGATTCACAGGTAGTTGTGAGCTGCCATGTGGGTACTGGGAACTGAACCCAGGTCCTTTGTAAGAATAGTCAGTACTCGTAAATCTCTCCAGCCCCATAGCCACTTTTTTTAAACCACTGTATTTTTCGATAAATCATCCATAAGCATTACAGTCTGAGCCACCAACAACCCTGAGCCTAGAGCAGAGGTCTCCAAAGGAATATGCCATTGATCATAGCTTCTTAAACTGTGGGCTGCAACTCCACCTGAGGTCATATAACTGAATGCAGAGGTCACAACTGTAAAATGTTTCTGAAGGCACAGCCATGAAAATAAATTCACAATCAAATGTATCTCCGATATTTCTAGCAGCAGCAACCCATGATGCTGCAAACGGATTCACTGCAGCTTTGGTCCTGAAGACACAACACACATCTTTGCATGGTGCCTGCCACTGCACCATGCAAGGCCAGCCAACACTGCCCGAAACACCTCAGCTCAGAGTCGAGATGATTATACACTGTGGATCGCAGGATTGCAGACTCTTCCTGCACATACGGAATGTTCTGATCCCAGCAGAAACATGACGGGTTTATGAAAAACGAAGACTAATTTTGTGATTTGAAAATTTCATACATATGTATTATATTCTCATTACTCTCCCACCCCTCTTGTCTCTCTTCCATCTCTATCAACACTTCCCATCTCTACCAATCTCTTGCCCAGATTCCTGACTTTGGGTTTTGTTAATGTGACAGTTTTCGTTTGGCCAGGGCCGTCTGTGTGTACGGATCAGAACCATCAGAGCTGGACAGGGTCATCAGTGGGTACACGGCTGACCTGTGTCTGTCTGTGGTAAACGGTTCAGCAAGGACAGGGAAGGCCTCCTGAGTCCTCCTCCCTCCACTCCTGTTGATCAGGCATCGTCTGCAGACCCAGTGAGGGCGACCCCAGCTGCTGTGAGCTGGTGGCTGCAATCAATGGTTGTGTCTTGGATTTCGTCAAGGTGACACAGCCCCAGACATATCAGTGAAGAGGGAAGCTCAGTTGAGAAATTGCTTCTACCAGAATGCCATGTGGGCGAGTTTGTGGGGCATTTTCTTGATTAAACTGAGGTGGGCGGACCCCTATCCCTGGGGGCAGTGCCGCCCCTGGGCATGTGGTCCTGGGTTGTGTAAGAAAGCAGACTCCTGAGCAAGCATGAGAAGCCAGCCAGTAAGTGGTGTGCCTCCATAGCCTCTGCTTTGGTCCCTGCTTCTGGGATCCCGCCCCGAGTGCCCGCTTCGTCTTCCCTCAGTAACGGACCGCAACCCGCAAAAGTGAAATAAGCCTTTCCTCCCCCAGTTGCTTGCAATCATCGTTGTATCAGCAACAGAAACCAACCGAGACAGCGGCCTTTCTCCTTGTTTCCCGGCAGTGTTCCCTGAGTCTTACAGAGGATGACAGAAATGCTGATTTAGGCGGAGTACTCAGCCACCACCTTTCTCAGCAGGACTCTCTACAGTCCCCATTACCACGGCGTGGAAAGAGAAGCTTCTCTGATTCAGGGTGAGAGCGGTGTTTAGATATGAGTGACTGTTTAGAAGGCAGCTTGATGCTCTGATAATTTAGCTCAGTAGCAGTGTTCAGTTATGCCCTGGGCTTTATGACCTTCCCCACCAGGTTTTGTTTTTTGAAACCAGGTTCAAGTACCAGGAAGATACTTACTCCTTCCTGCAGGCTGGGCCTCCAATCCAAACAGAGAGCGTTTGGTCATCCCGTTACCATACTGCCGCCATTGCACATCTTACTTGTCAAGTTGGTACCGTAGATCTGGAATTAATAGCTGGCTGTCGCCACTGATGCCTCCCCTGAGCCCAGCAGCCTTGGGACTATGAGAGGACTTCCGCCAGGAAGGAGGAAGCCTCCACCACAGTTCAGCTTGGGGAAAACAAAGACTTTAATAATTTCTTATCATCACTCCTCGGCGTGCAAGTATCAAATCAGTATTCCTTTGGACTGGATTACAATGTTTGATTTCAAAACTTGCTGTCTGAGTTGCTGACTTAAGCTTCATTTTACAAAAACATTGAATGAATTTTGGCTTGGAATTATGTTAAAACGGCCAGTGGTCTCAAACATACTTCCCCATTTTGTACTATGTATTTATGTAAAGTAGCATTCTTTGCATTTGACAATTAAATCAAAATATCGATCAACTCTGAGAACATTGAAGATGCTCTATATCCTGCTGTATCAAACATTTACCCAAGACTTGATTCCTTTTGTAAGAATAAATATTAGTGTGCAAATTTGTTTTCAACTATAATATATTGTAAAATTATATGTATCCAAAATAAATGTTTTTAATAAATTTCTTTTTTTTTCTGTTTTCTTGCTTTTTGTTTTTTGTTTGTGTAGTTTTGGTTCCTGTCCTAGATCTCTCTCTCTATAGACCAGGCTGGCCTCAAACTCACAGAGATCCACCTGGCTCTGCCTCCCGAGTGCTGGGATTAAAGGTGTGCGCCACCACCACTGCCTGGCTCAATAAATTTCTTTATGATTTCTCCAAGATTAAATGCTTGATTGATATACCTATTTTATATGCCTACATACCTGAGGTCATGTAAAAATACCTCAAGCAAAGAAGGTGTAAACGGAAAAACATTGAACAAGCTCTGAATGATCCACAGCAGGTCAGCAGTTAGATTTCCACAGATCCTAATCTTGACTAATCTAAAACTCAAGTAATGAGAAAGAAGCAGAAGTGTAGTCATACGGACTACACACAGACATGACGATACAGAACGGCGCCTGCCCTGTCTGTCCTTCACCCACATATCCAACCTTCCCTGAAGACAGAGTGGGGGTTCCACCAGAAGCCCACTCATGACTTCCCTTTCCGTAGATCAGAGTGAACTTCATTCTACCTACATGGCAGCAGTTCTCAACCTGTGGGTCGTGACCCCTTGGAAGTTGAATGATTCTTTCACAGGATCTGCATATCAGATATTCTGCATGTCAGATGTTTACATTACGCTTCACAACAGTAGCAAAATTGGAGCTATGTAGTGGAAATGAAATAATCTTATGGGTGGGGATCACCACAACATGAGGAGCTGTATTAAAGGGCCGCAGGGTTAGGAAGGCTGAGAACCACTGTGCTAGAGGGTTCCATAAATGGCTAATTTCATATAATTCAGCACTTCAGAAAGTAGATTCTTCATAATTCTTCTAAGGAAGATGAAAAGGCGTATACCTCATATAAGTGGACCAGTTACATGGGTCACAAGACAAGAACTGTCAAACTGAGAAGTGACTCTCACCTTCTCTCTCTTAGGAATGCGATTCGATGACCTCTCATGGGCAAGTAGAAGCTGCCAGGGCTAGGCAAATGTCTTCATACACACAACTATGCTTAATATGTCTCTTTTAATAGTAGAACGGGAAACCAGCTACCTCTCGGAATAAATCTGTAATTTTGAAAATGGGTATGGTTGGTAGCCTCTGAGATGGTCTCCCTGGAAACATGCATTTTAGGTAATGTCCTCACCTTAAGTGTGAGCCACAGGTAGTGATCGGAACAGAGAGAACAGAGAATAAGTGCCAGACCATGAGTTCCATCCTTCTCACCCTCTCTCTTCATAGAGAGGCTGAGTAGATAATAAGTCCACGAAAACCAGGCACCTGACAGCAGACCTGTGAGTGAACATGGAAGCAGGTCCTCCCCCAGTGTTGCTGGAATCTTAAATCAGTCATAATAAAAATCCCAGTGCCAGATATTGGGGTAAATGCTGAAAGATTAGAGAGACAAAGGAACAAGTCACAGCCACTCTTACCTCATCAACTTCTCAGCCTGAAAAACCTAGTTCCTGTCTCCTCATGCCTTATATACCTTTCTCTGCCCAGCTATCACTTCCAGGGATTAAAGGCACATGTGCTTCCCAAGCAAAGGCATGAGATCAAAGGTATGTGCCACCACTGCCTGGCTCTGTTTCTCTTCTAGACTGAGCCAATCTCATGTAGTTTGGGGCGGCTTTGAACTCACAGAGATCCAGACAAAACTCTGCCTCCCGAGTGCTAGGATTAAAGGTGTGTGCCACCACTGCCTGGCCTCCATGTTTAATCTAGTGGCTTGTTCTGTTCTCTGATCTTCAGGCAAAGTTTATTAGGGTACACAATATATCACCACACCGCTAGTCTGGCTGGAGGCCTGGCATCACCCCAACTGCAACTTTAAGAGAGACTCTGAGTCAAAAGAGCGCAGCTGAGCCTCTCCTGGAATCCTGACCCACAGAAACTGCAGGCAATAAGCGTTTGCTCTTTCGAGACACTGGGGTGGGGGGTGATTTGTTACTCAGCAAGAGCTAGCTCATGCTGTAGAGAAATGTTTCCCCGTCACTGCGGTAACACTGGGAAATAATAAGAATATGTTTCTTATTTTAATTTTCTTTCTGTACACTTTAAAAAACTAGAAACAGCATTTCCTAATCTATTTAGATATTCCAAATGAAGACTATTCAAAGACTCGATACAGTAGCTAACAATATAAAACAAACGCTCTCCGAAGAATTTACAAGAGGGACGAAAAGGTGGGGAGTTGCTAATTAAACTACGAAAAGTCTGAGAAGAGTGCTTCGGAGCTAAAAGGGAAAGCCATCCCAATAGATACAGCTACAAAAGCACCCGGGTACCAAGGCTCAGGGAACACTGTGGAAGAAGTGGGGGAAGACTGTGAGAGCCGGTGGACCAGAGCATTTGCTGTGAGATTGTGTGTCCTAGGAATGTCAGAAGCTACACCCAGAAAGTCTCACCAACATGACTGCCGGAACATGAGCTGAACGAGGACAATAGTAGTAGGCATGTCAAAGTGGACAAGGGAAAGCCCACACGGCCTCAACCCTCCACAAAGAACTACAGGCAGCTAAGGATGCTGAGAGCGGGAGAAACAGTCTTCCCCAGGGGAGAGCACAGCAATTGGTTACCCACTACCAAGTGCTCAGCCCTGAAAACGTACGTGGGAGAGGGAGCAACAATATGCAGAGGGAGCAACAATATGCAGAGCGAGCAGGTTGCATTTAAGAATGTATACACATACATACACACAGGCAGGTAACAACAGCTAATGAAAAAGAGGCCATGAATTGGAAAGAGAGCAAGGAGGGGTAGCCAAGAGGGTCTGGAGGGAGGAACGAGAAGGGGGCATGATGTAATTAGAGTCCATTTTCAAAAAGAAAAGAAGCAATTCTAAAAGGAAGGAAAAAGAAAACTAGTGTCTTGTATTTAGTTAGTCTTGCCGAGAAACAGCCCTTCAGCAGGAACTGTATTTGCTTGTGAGGCATCTTATTTTGATTAAAACTAGGAATCTGAATAAACTGAACTTAGAACCAGTCCTTGGGAGTATCCTATGACAAAGCCTTAGATGAAGGTTTTCAGAAACGTGAAAACAGGGCTGGGAGATAGCTCAGTCTGTAAGTGCCTGCCTCGCACTACGAGGATCCCCAGAACCCAGGGAAAAGAAGTGGGGTATGGTGGTGTGCTTGCAGTCTAACCCTGGGGAGACACAGACACAGATCCTTGGGGCTCTCTGGCCAGCATATAGAGCCTACTTAAGGAGCTCCAGACCAGTGAGAGAGCCTGTCTCAAGACAAACAGGTGGATGGCGGCGACTGAGGAGTAATGCCTGAGGTTGCCCCTTGGCCTCCATACACATATGTACACACATGCACGCACATCCACACACGTGTGCCCTTGCACACACATGCACATACACAATACATAGACAAGAAAATGTGTAACAACATTTTCAAACACACTGCTTATTCTGTTTTTAATTTTAAAAATTTATGGGCACAAAATAAATCTATATATTTAAATATTATCTACTGACTCTCATCTTTGCATATTTCATCAGGGATATTGTAAACTAATCTGAGAAAAACATGTGGCTCATTGGTTTTTGTCAATTTGACCCAATCCTAGATGTATCTGGGAAGAAGAAATTTAGTTGAGAAAATGCCTCCATAAGCTTGGTATGCAGACACGTCTAGGGGGTAGTGTCTTGATTAGTGACTGACGTAGGAGAACCTAGCCCACAGTGGGTGGTCCCACTCCTAGGCAGGTGGCCCTGGGTTGTGTAAGAAAGTAGGCTAATCAAACTATGTGGAACAAGTCAGTAAGCAGCACACCTCCATGGTCTCTGCTTCAGTTCCTGCCTTGAGTTCCTGCCCTCACTTCCTTCCATGATGGACTATGACATGGAAGTGTAAGCCAAATAAGCCCTTCCTGGCCAAGTTGCTTTTGACTATGCTATTTCATTACATTCATAGAAACCTGTACATAAATAAATGATTAAATAATTATATATTTAAAGAGGACATGCTCAAGTTACTTTTCCCTGTTGGGTAGGTGCAAACTGAAAGAGTTTAGGCATCTCTGGCCTTGAAGGGAAGTCCCAGTACCTTCCCTTGGTTGGTACAGCCTTTTCTCCTAAGTCCTGTACTTTTAGCTACCTGAAATTTTCAGGACTCCTTGGGTGCCTTAGCAGTTTCCCATAATCCTTTCCCACACTCACCCCAGACCCTTATATTCATTGAAGAATTCCTGTTTTCCAACATTCAGTGTCCTTGTCAACCATTCAAAACACTTTCTTCTCCTCTTTTGGATGCTCTCAAGTACCCTTGGAATATTTCACAGCAGGACCTGCTTCTTTTCCAGCCTTATCAGTTAGGGGGTTTTCTGTTAGGAAAGAAAGGGGAAAAGGAGGAGGGAGGGAGAAAGGGAGGGAGAGAGAGAGGGAGAGGGAGAGGGAGAGGGAGAGGGAGA